GCTGTTCTAGCATAAAAAAAAATACAAAAAAGATTGATAGTTGTAAATGTATAATATTGATATTATTAATATATATTATAAAATATATAAAAATTGTTATTGTATAAAAAATAAAGTAAAATAAAATATTACTGTTGTATTATAAGATTAAAAATATTGCTTGAGTCTATAAAATAAATAAAATACAAATATTGCTGTTGTTGTTGTATTAAAATAAATTAAAATAAGAATAATGTTGTTGTATATAAAAATAAAATATAATAAATATTTTTATTGTATCAAAATATAAAGTAAAATAAAATAAAACATTTAATTTAATTAAATGCACTTGCATTGTTTTTTGTGTTACCTAACATTTTTAGTATTTCATTATATTCCGATTGATTTATGGTATTAGTGTCTCTACAGGCACCATAGTGACCTCGCAGATAAGTCACTAGAGGTGAATACTGTACATACACATCAAGTGAATGAAAACAGCATGTACTGTATACCTTGCCTGACTATCTCAGCAGCCCGCAGAGGATTTTCAGTGGCTTGATCCACGATATTCATTATCATATCAGTCACTGTTTTGCTGAGGATGTCCAGAGTTCTTCTCTCCGCTTTTGTCATGGTCCTGGGGCCAACAGAGTGCCAGTTCTCCTCCACGCGATCTTCATGTGGTGTGCGTGGCAATTTCAAGAACAACTTCAGGTGGTTCTCTGCTGCCCGCCGACAGAAGTATTTAAGCACGTCCATGTAGAATTCCCAGCGCGCAGGTATTTCAGTGAACATTTGACGCAAAAGCTCCAAGCACAAGTAATCGACAGGGAATGTCTTGCCCACGTCATTAGTCAAGAGCTCCTGGTAAACGCAGTTGATGAGATCTTTATTAAACATATGGATTAACTCTTGCTTGAGGCAGCAGTCTAAAGATTTTAAGCTGTCTGATGGCTCAAGAGTTTCCAGAAAGCGCCTTTCAGACATGTTTAATAGATATTTGCAGTGTAAGAAATCCATCACTTGTGCAAAAACAGTCATGCCAATGATGCCCGCCTCTTCACTCTCAACACCTGAGATGTGAGCACCATAGCTCGTCCTGTCAGTGGAAGCGATAGGGCCGACACAGTGAGCGCAGTTACTATAGGGCACATTAATGTTCAGTTTCTCCCACTCTTCAGCTCTCGTTTTAGCTTCCAAAATCATGCTCTCCTCTTCTCGCAGACAGAGAACTAGAGCCGGAAGGACCACATCCATGGACACTGTTCTTATCCACTCAACAATTTGCACAAACATATGGGCAAGTTTTGATTTAGAAATATGCTTGTCTTTGAGGGTCCTCTTGACAATATTGCGAGATCTGAAAATGGAGAAATGTATATTTTTGTTTGCAGGCCAGCTCTTGCATGTGCATTTCTATATGATGGGATTGAACTTACTTGTTGGGTATCATTTGGAGCGGGTCAAACATAAGCCATGGCGCTGGAAGCTGAGGTTGTGTGGCTGTTTTGAGTGCCATGAATGTCTGAAAAGTTGAATCTCCATGGGGAGTTTCCATGTGCCAAGTTTTTTGAGCTGACACCTAAGCAGACAATAGAACAGATATGTTATAGATAGATAAACAAACAAATAAAGACTTAAAAAATAAATAATACAATATTGCTTTTGTATAAAATGATGTAGCCAATTTATTGAATGTTTCTCCAGCTCTAAAGCATTGAACATGCAGGACAAATCCAAAAATGAAAACCGTTATTATACAGTTCAGAGCTGTATAATTGTGCAGTAACCAGATAATTCTTTACATGGTATTTTACCAGAGAATTTGTGTTATATATTGACAGCGACCTTTGCTTATTACTGTATTGCTAATTAAAAGCCATTAGCTACTTTTCACACATCTTTAAAAAAAAATTTAACGTTATACCTTCACAAAAATGGCCGTTTTCAGCATTCAAAACAATAACAACAAACTGTGAAAACATGGTCTTACCTGAGCAGTTATAGGTGGAAGTTCGTTATTGTTTTGTTTTTTTCAACTCTAGAGTGCCCTGGTCAATTTCAAGAAAAATCATTGATTTGGCAGCTTGGGTGAGTAACTGTTTTTGAATGATTTTTCTACATCCTAGCTGAAAGATTGATCGAAATGCTTCAAGAAATTGAATCATAACATGCACTGAATTATATGTGTGCAAATGTGAAGCCTACCATTTCCGTTTTGGGTTAAAATATAAATATTGTTAGATATTTACCTTCTAATAAGTGTATAAATAATATAACATATAATAAGTGAATAACGACAAGTATTCTAAGAGAATAGCATACGCCTCCGTGGTCACCAGATGCTGCTCACTCTTCAAATGAGAGGTTTAGGTTGCTATGACGACTAATGCGTTGCTTCTCAACGCGGTTCCACAAAAGAACCAGTAGATGGCGATGATGGTCTTTGATGCGAAATATCCAAAGAAGAGAAGGACTTCACAACAGCGCACGGCACGCTCATAAACATTAAACTGACATACTGAACTGGTGCTTTCAAGAACCTTCGGACCAACTGTAAAAACCGAGAATAAAGTTACTGGTATGACAACGCTTTTTCGATTCCGGTAGGTATGAATTATAGTAACGTTAACTTAACCAACTATAGTTTATGCTTTATACGTGTCATTATTACCACTGTAAATGTAAAATATATCTGATTAGGAATCTAATATTTTATTATGCATTTATTAAGTGATTGATTCACATAGATTATAGTATTCAACTAAAGTTTATGCTGTGCGCATGTATTGTTATCGTTGTACATTTCTAATGTGTTAAATTTGATTTGGGATTTCTCTAATATTTGATGAATGCATTTTTTTTCATTCATATTGATTTTATGGATTGTGGTTAAATTCTTGAAAGGTTTTGATTTTTGGTCACTACATTATTCCTAAACTTAAGAGTAGAGTGATGTTATAATAACAAACTATAGTTTATGTTATATACATTTAGTATTATTATCACAGTAGATTCATAATATATACAATTTGATTTGTAATTTTTTTAATGTATTTATTCATTCATCTATAGTTATTGTGGTTAAATGTTGCTTGTTTTGATTTTTGTTCACTGCTAACTTTTATTTGTACCAATCATTTTTTATTACTTACTGATTGTTATTGTGAAACGAATGAATGACTAAATGTGTTCAAACTGGTGTTGTACCTATACAGACTGATCATGGATGTGCCAGAAGCCAGTCATTCTCAAGATCTAAACTCTTCAGACGATTCCAGTGTGACCTTAACACCACAAATGTTGGCTAAATTTGAAAGGAACAGACAATGCTCAGGCAAGCCAGGCTTGCAAATAGACCATCCTCAGCTCCAGAAGGTTTGCCATGTGTTAACAAAACATATACGAATTTGCACAAATTTCACTTTATCATGTAGCGTGTACAATAATCTGTCTTTCCTCAGGAGCTACATGTGCTAAAGTTGCAAAAACTATAGACTCGGGTGCAGGCTTCTTTATTGAGGAGGAGACAACAGAGGAGGAGCAGCAGGAAAAGAGAGTGGCTGCGCAACCAGGTAATCAAAAATGGCATCACTAACCAACATATGCATGTTTTTCCATTTGTTTTTAACTGAAGTTGAAAATTGTATGTATTTCAGCCCCAGTGATGGAGCCTGATTATCTAATGTGTGAGGAGTGTCTAAAACCATTTATGGATTCTTATCTCAGCAACAGTTTTGATCTATCTGTGTGTGATAAATGCAGGTATGGCATCTATTTATAGTGGTTAAAACATACCTTTAAATTAGTGTTACAGAGCTTACTGGTTGAAGCTGTTATTACTGTATTTATCTTATTATCTCAGTATTTCAGTTTCAGTACTTGGTTGTGTTTCCTGTGCACCTGCAGTTCAACAGCTGCTCAAAACAAGCACTGTAATGTGTATGTGCATTTCATTTTATAATTGCATACGTTTGCATAGAGACAACGAAGTGAAGCACAAGCTAATATCTCGCACGGAAGCCAAACAGAATTTCCTCCTGAAGGATTGCGATCTGGATCAGAGGGAACCACCACTGCGATTTATTCTGAGGAAAAATCCTCACAATCCACGCTGGGGAGACATGAAACTCTACTTAAAGACACAGGTAGGTTCAACACATCCAAATATTAAACTAAAATCCATGCTTAGGATAAATAAAAAGTTAGAACACCATGAAATAAAAACATGCAAAAATAATGATTTAAAAAAAAAAAACATGTTCCCAAACACTTCTATGACTTCACATCTGCCTTTTTAGTCTCAAACTGTACAAAAAACACACACCATTAGTTAAGCCTGAAGGAGAAATATTTTTATCATATAAGAATTTTCATTTAATCTTTTAGAGTGTCAAATTGATTATAATATTATGGGTACACTTCACAACAAGGTTTTTTACATTAACATTAGTTAAAACAATAGCTAATATGAAATTGTTATGATTTATTAATTTTGGTTTATTTCTTCGTTATATCATTTTTTTTAAAATTGATGTTTGCGAAATAAGTGCTTGTGATCACCAAGTGTACAATTATTTGAATAAGATTATCATAAAACAGTGTGATAATGTAATTGTAAATGTAATGTATTCCTGTGATGGTAAAGCTGAATTTTCAGCATCATTACTCCAGTCTTCAGTGTCACATGATCCTTCAGAAATCATTCTAATATGCTGATTTGCTGCTCAAGAAACATTTCTTATTATTAGTGCTGTAAAAAGTCATGCTGCCTAAAAATCTTGTGATTTTTATTATTTTTTTCCACGATTCAAAAAATCTTTAAGTTGAGCTAAGAACAGACTTCTAAAGAACAGTATTACTTTAAAAACATTTTTTAAAATTAAATTTAAGTTGCATAGTTTGTTGTTCGGTTTTGTTTGTGTATAAATACTGTATACCATATTTTTATGAAATTTAAGGTGGTAAAGCGCTCTCTGGAGGTGTGGGGCAGTGAGGAGTCTCTGGAGGAGGCCAAAGAGAGCAGAGATGAGAACAGGGAGGTGCAAAAGCAGAAACGCTTTAATAAAAAGGTTAAAGGTATGAAAGCTGAGCAGTCTAGTCAGTTACTCTTTGACTGTCAGATTTTAAATATACACTAAAAACGTATTACACTTAAAAAGACGTTTAGAGAAGTAAATAGCAATCATAGAAAAAAAATCTGTTCAATGTACTGATTAGACAAAGAAGAACTAATGAAAACTTGATGATGAATAAGTTGATACTGGCTACATTTGGTCACAGTGTGTCTTTATACATTGCTCTCCATCTTCATCTGGCTTTCAGAGTTAAGGAGGGCAGTCAGGAGCAGTATGTTTAAGAAAGATACCAGCGTTCATCAGCATGTTTACGGCCCTGAGGAGCTGCTAGATGAAGAGGAAGATCTCTACAGGAAAGTGTGTCAAACATGTGGACACGAACTCACTTTTGAGAAGATGTAAATATGTCTTGGAAGTCTCACTGCTGTGGCTACTGTTCAGGGAAGAAGCAGGGTCCGGATCCAAGTCAGCAAAGAGTAACACTGATCTTGCTTCTGGTCCTCGACACATTCTCTTGGCTTGGAGTCCAGGTATCAAAACAGGTTTGCATCAGTTTCCACTTGAACCAATTTGGAGTATCTGAAACTCCTAACCAACAGAGTGGTGCTGCATTGTGTTCTGAAGTTGCCTTCTGAAGTTTAGAAATGTCAGCATTAATGGAGTAGTTCACTTCCAGAATGAAAATTTCCTGATAATTTACTCACCCCCGTGACATCCAAGATGTATATGTCTTTCTTTCTTCAGTCGAAAAGAAATTAAGGTTTTTGAGGAGAGCATTCCAGGGTTTTCCTCCACATAGTGGACTTCTATGGAAGTCAGTGGTTTGAAGGTCCAAATTTCAGTTTCAGTGCAGCTTCAAAGGGCTCTACGCAATCCCAGCCAAGGAATAAGGATCTTATCTACTGAAACGATTTGTCGTTTTCTAAAAAAAAAGAGAAATGTATATACTTTTTAACCACAAATGCTGGTCTTGCATGCATGACATAGACAAAAGTACCGACCTAGTGTCCAAAGCGAACGTGCAAAGAAAGTCAAACGCCCGTTACAAAAAAAGGTAACAATGTCAGACAATTTTGATGTTGGAGGAGACAATAAGAAGGACTACCCTACCTTTTTGAACCGAAATACACAGACGAAGAACTAACCACACGTGACTTTTCCAATGTGATTACACAATGCGTGAAGGCACGCTTGCGCATCGCAGAGCTAATGCATGATGAGCATTTGTGGTTAAAATGTATATAAATTTGTATTTTTTTTTAGAAAATGGAAAAATCGTTTCGCTAGGTAAGACACTTATTCCTCGGCTGGGATGGTGTAGAGTCCTTTGAAGATGCATTGAAACTGCAATTTGGATATTCAACCCGTTGGCCGCCATTGAAGTCCATTATATGGAGAAAATTCCTGGAATGTTTTCCTCAAGAAACTTAATTTTTTTATGCGACTGAAGAAAGAAAGACATGAATATCTCGGATGACATGGGGGTGAGTAAATTATCAGGAAATTTCCATTCTGGAAGTGAACTACTCCTTTAAGATTAGAGTGTGTTGCACTAGATTTGATCAC